TCCTTTTCTTAAAAACAGCAGGTGTATCGTGGTTTTTATTTCTATTTCCTTAAAAGCTGAATTTGTAAAATAAAAATTTTCTATCAGTGTATGGTCAAACAAATCAAAAGAAAATCCATATCATGAATGAAATTCGTGTCTTACATCGGATTAAAAAGAAATATTCTGAATCTAAGTGTTTATGCATATTTAGCACAAAATGTGCTTATTTGCCTTATAAATTTAACAAAAAACATTCTTATAACAGTATGTCGCCTTTAAATTCAGTAAAAATGTCAAATGTATTTTCTGATGGTATTGATATACTTGCAAAAAAGTTCTAAAAACCTGAAATGTCGAAAGACGCTTACAATTGAGCTCCGTATGATAAGAATCTCTTTTGTATCTCTAAATCAGTTATAGGTTAAGGGGTGTTTTGAATAAAATAAGTCAATGTTTGTGAAAAATATACTAGTTGTATTTTGAAAAGAGTAATAATTCGCTTTTTGTCAATTAAGGAAACTTGTAGTATTTTCAAATAGGATGTCAGTGAAAGAGATTACGGTTGCATAGTGAATTAAGAAGGTACTATATGGAAATTGAATAAACAAATTAAGGCTATACGCTAGAATTAAAAGTAATTCAAAAGAGGCCTGTTAGAATTAAAAGTAAGATGTTAAAATTTAAAAAGATGCAACTGAGTAAAACCATAAAACTTTAACAATTCACATTTTAAAAATGGTAATTTGAGTACGACTATGAAAAAGTTGGTTTTAAGAATTTCTTTATGCATGTGATGCAAAAAATTGTTAGTTTCCCTTAAACGTTTTCCACGAGTGTAGATATAGATGCAATTAGTGTAGGAAAAAGGTCAAATTAGCATAGTCAGTGTCTCTAAAATATGAAAAAATAATGGTATGACTGGTCTAAATTCATTTGAAGTACTGAAATATAACGTAGACTAAATATCAAACGTTTTAAGAAATATTTCAGTATGTATGAATGAATGAAACAGTGAAAAAAGTTGTAAAATTTGAAACGAAAATTATGAATGCACTTAAAGGTAAACAGGATTTAAAACTAAACATGATGTTAGTAACCTTTTAAAACCTTAAAACTATATGAGAAAGAAATACATATAGGTATAAATGGTATTAAACTGTAAAGTTGTGAATGGAAATTTCTGAGTAAAACTAAGTCAAATAAAAAATCTTGTAGATGATCAATTTTGATTGGAGAATATAATAAGTATATTTAAAATTGTAAAGAAATGTTAGAATGCGCAGTAAATTAAGACAATCTACATTGTTAAAAATTGTGTTAATGTCTAAAATGGAATAAAATAATAGAATTATGAATGATGAGACAAATAAAAACGGTATAATAAATAAGTTAAACTATAACTATGAAATATAAACTAAAGAAGGAAATCATAAACGTAAGAAAAGTAATTAACAGTTACAGACTCAAATAGCTTAAATTTAAAAAAGGTATATTGGGCAGTGTAAGGAAGATATTGTAAATATGTAAAAGAAATTAGAAATTCTGTAGCAAATTAAGTAAAGTAACTAAGATTATGGAAAAAAAAATTCTTTTTCGAATATAACTTAACACAAATAAGTTAAAATGAAAGTATGTACAGAAAACTAGGAAGGTTAAAAAATTAGACCAAAAAAAAAAGATGTTAAAATTAAGTTTAAAATTAAACGATATAATAAACAGTAATTATGGAAATGAAGTTAAAATTCAGAATACATTGAACACTATAGCGTTAAAAAGTGTTTAAAAAATATAACAGCAAACAAATATGTTATTACATCCAGAAAAGAAAATATAAGAAATGAGTTGAAATTAAAAGGTAAAGGAAACCTAGAAAGTTAAAAGTATCAAAATAAAATTAAGTAGAATAATAAATAAAAAAAATTATCATGTAGTTTCATTTTCATGACATGATGAATTGTTATTAGAGCGAAGTCTTTTTTATAATTTTTCTCCTCTTACACATTGTTTTCAGAGACGTGCACTGAATGGTTTTAACACGAGACTTAAAAATATATTTCTAAAACACTTAATTCACTTTACGTCAACAGAAGGCAGCATGAGTATTTTACCAAAATTAAGATGCAGAAAATATCCACTTGATCCGTTGCCATTTTGAAAAACTAAATTTAAATAAAACGCAGGAGGTCTACAACTCAACCAGCAGCCTAAAACAACTCAGCTCTACTCGTGATGTTATTGGCTACGCCCCCGTGGTGTGATGTCATCCATGACGTTGCCCTTGGCCCCCGCCCTCTGTGTGACGTAACTGACCATGCTCTCTGCTCCTCTGATGCAGAACTGTCATTATTATACTACTATAGTAGAAAATGGAAGCAGCTTTCAACATCACAACTTAGCTCAGACATTACACAGTTAAACCGCCTAGCGTCAGCATCACAGAGTTTCGCGTCCTGTCAGTGATAATGTTTTTTTTTTTTTTTTTTAAATTTTTTAGACAGATTTCAAGTAGTTTTCGAAAGTACATTAATAAACTTTATGATATGCATTGAAGCCTTTTAACATTAAATGATAGACATATAAAGTGAACATGTTTCCATATACATTATGAAATTGCATTTGAAAGCTGATCTTATATTAACCATTTATCCTTCATTTGCACCATAAAATTTTAGAATTTAGTTTTCGCCTTTTTTGTTTCCCTATTTTCTAGTTAGAGAAAAGAGACTACTATAAATGGAAAAATTTTAATAAAATTTTTGTCATAGTCTGTTTGGAGTACTTCTTTCAATCTAGTTCCCCCACACTATTTCTTTAATGTTTTTCTGTTTATACTAAAATAATAAACATAAGTCTAGAATTCCATTAAATAATTCTCATAATTTTTTTAATTAGTTAAAATTTCTTCTCTGGTATTCTTATTATCTAGAAATTTAAAACAAATCAAAAGGGTCAAAATAATAACTACTTATAGTGAACAAAAAATCATAACACATTACTCTTTATCTGATACAAGCTATTTTAAAAGTCAGTTCAAAAATAAATGAGATGGTGAGTAACAGCTGAAAATTAAATTAAGAAAATTTTTACAGATGTACGATTTCAAAGCATTTGAGAGTAAATGATTAACTTTCTAAGTAAAACCAAACGAAAGTAAAAAATTTTATAGATACCAATCTTTAACGAAATAATTTGAGAATAACATGTCACATAAATTCAAACAAGCAATTACTTAGCATTTAAAAAATTCTTCCGATATAATTATATGAAAGTTCAGTTCATCTGAAAGAGCAGTTTAAATAAAAATGTCACTGAGTAAGATCTGAAAAATAATTATTTTAAGAATATTTTATGGACTTTCTAATTGAAGCAATAGCGAATAAAAAGTTGCATTTTCTAACAGAAACTAAATAAAACAAAAATTTTCTAAAAATACCAATATTTTTCGCGAAATAACATCAAGAAAAGCATGTCACATCAACAAAAGAAAATTCAAATAAAAAATTGTTTAAATGTTATACAGGACTATTGTTAGTCTTCTAGTAAAAACGATAACGAAATTTTAGAATACGAAGCCTTTAAAACTGCATACAGAAAGTTATATTTAAAATGATGTACCCTTAGTGGCAAAAATATTACAGAGAGTTAATCAAAATTATTTTTAAATTTAGTTTATCATGGGCAGCAAGTCGCATTTTCCTACTGTATATGACCATCTATAACATAGATTATCGCAAATGTGATCGGCAACAGCTCTGAGATAAGCTCTGACACTAAGAGCTGATTTGTGCCATATTCTGACCTCGTCATTTACATGATGTAGCAGGATACAAGATTCAATGAATCAATCAACTTTGTTGTAATCGTGAAGAGTCCAATTATCGTGATTCTGAGACCACATCGATGTTGGAACTGAGTCTCCTTGCGTCCACAATCATGCCTCATTCAAAGCCACTCAGGTCTTTCGAATTACCTATGTTCATATAAACTGCAGTGAAAAATCATTTTTTAAAGATAATCGGGTCTTATGTAAGTAGTTCTTAAGTGTTATGCTTCAGAGTATATACCATATTAATTTAGAACTGCCTTTCCGTAAAATATTTTACAAGAAATCTTGTAAAATGAAAATTTGGCAGAACTATTATTTTTTAACACTGCCACTGCAGAATTAATTGAAATGAACGAATAAACCTTTAGTTTCACAATATTTGAATATTTCATACTAAAATACAACAGAAAACTCAATGAAAATTGTGGTGCTGACAGTCTTTAACATTAGATATTAAGAGCATATGACACATAAAGGACACTACACAACGATTAAAATTTTACCAAAAAGATGCTATAAAATCACTATTTTATTGAACACCTACATTTATGAAATATTATTGCGAATAGCATATCATATAAGCACATAAAATTTCAAATACACTTTCATTAAAACATTTCACACAGTTATTATATTCTGCTCTAAAATGCACCAGAAAATAAAATAAATTTTCTGTCATTGAAAATCAAGAACATTAGTTAAAATTTCTTTACAAAATAGTGCACAAATTTAAAATTGCCCTGATTTCAAAAGTTCTATAAGAAATGCTAAAAATAAACATTTTATAAAAACCTATATTTATTATGAAATATTATTACGAATGTAATATAACCATATAAATCACATATCATATAAATCATATAAGCATATCATAACACTGATTGACATATAAAATTTACTTCTTTAATTTGCATCTTACAATTACTAGATCTACTCTAAAATACATCAGAAAGTGTATTAAATTTTCTGTTATTGAAAATCCATAGCATTACATAAAATTCATTTAAAAAAGAGAATGCACAAGTTAACTTAAAAATTGCTCTAACTTAAAAAACTTTGTAAGAATGCTACAAAATTAACATTTTGCCAACACCAGTACATATTATGAAATATTATTACGAATATAATATAAACATAAAAATCATATATCATATAAACATATTATAACGTCGAATATCATAAAAATTTAAAATACTCGTTTATTTAATCAATGCGTAAAATTATCAGATCATACTTTAAATACATCAGAAAATGTAATAAATTTTTTGGTACAGAAATTCCATACCATTAGATGAAATTTATTTAAAACAGAATGCTCCAATTAGCTTTTAAGTTGCTCTAATTTCTGATTTTTAAGAAATATTATGAAAGAAAAATTTTACTAATATTAGTATTTTACAGATATTATACTACAAATACAATCTTTAAGAAATGATTATATAAATAAACAAGGAGTAAATGCCACCTTTTAAATCAATGGTCGTAGAAGCAAGATCTTAATTTCAGAAATAAATAAGCTATAATTTGAGACTGCGATAATTTTGGTCAGCTAACACAATTTAGTAAGAAATACAAAAAATTTTAAATTTTATAAGTCACCTGTAAAAAACAACATTCATGAAAATGTTTCCATGGCCCAAAAAATCAAAAGAAAAACGTCCATCGTCCATCCATAAGATCAATATTAATTGAACACCTTTTAAAAATTCCAGGAAAAGGAGACAAATGATGTTGAAGGCAGCTATGCATATCAAGTTTCCACACCTAAATTTTTAAAAGACATCATTCATAAAAAAAGCATTATTACAGAAGCATTAGTTTCGGGTTCCAATTTTTAGTAAAAATAAACATCTAATAATTTATATTTACAATAATTAAAGTAATTTATATCTACAATAATTAAAGTAATTTGTATCTACATTAATCAGACTTAATAAAAAAGTGCTAAAAATCCAAATTTGTGTCATTTTGGAAGCTGAAAATGTTTAAATCATGTATAAATTTATAGAGTCATTAAGTTATTTCGAAGCAGGAGACGTGAAAAATATGCATTACCCTCGCCTTGACACGAGCCCTGGACCTCTCGAATACGCGCCGAGTATGCTTCCAATTACACCACGAAGGCAGCGGAAAGGAGGAAGAATATACTTTAAATTTAATAAAACTTTTTCAGGGCCAGTTTTCCTTATTGCTGAATTCCCCTTCTTAATGATATTTGGTTCGATGAGAACCAATTTACTATTTGGAAATATGCATAAGTTTAAATTTTGTATATTTTTATTAAAGAGTCTCATGTGACCAAATTTGAAAGTTTATTATATAAAATAACAAAATGAAGATTTAACGTTTCCGAAACTTGTATAGTCTGAAAGCTTATTCTATTTAATTTATTTTTTAAACAAGAATTATTGGCTTAAACCATGCTTCCAGTTTAACAAATAAATAAATTGGACACGTTCAAGACGCATTTAACGTTTAATATGCAATCGTTTCTAAGCACCCCGTATAAAGCTTTAAACACTTATTTAAACTTTTAACACTTATTTAAAAAAATTGCATACCTTCTAAAACTTTTTTTTAAAAAAAGTTCTATAAGGTATTTTCTTTCGTCTTTCCGCATGCCTCCGGGCTGTAATTGGAAGCATATTCGAAGCGTATTCGAGAGGTCCAGGGTTCGAGTCCCTGCTAAGGCACTGCATATTTTTTTCGTCTCCTGCTTCAAAACGTGGTAGACGATAATTCCAGAATTTGACGATTGGTTCCTCTAATCCTTAGTCCTCTTTGAAAAAGAGGGAGCATATAAGATATTTTCTCCTTTCTTTTCCTCATGCCTTCGTGGTGTAACTGGAAGCATAATTCGAGAGGTCCAGGTTTGGAACACTGCACATTTTTCACTTCTCCTGCTTCAAAAACACCTGAAGACTCTACAGTGCAAAATGAAATTAACTAAAAATTTTCCAAAAGGGTCAGAACTTATACACAACTGTCATAACGTTATAAATTTATAATAACTGTTATAAAATCAAAATTTAACCACAAACAACAATATTTTATCCAAACGAATGTTGATATTATGTATATATATGTGTGTGTCATGATTTTAAAATGCGTAGATGAAGGCATTAGAACTTTTAATAGCTTCCGACATTGCGTAGATGACTGAGAAGACCGTAGTGACTGAAGGTAGAGCTGAGTGGAAAAGCATGATGACGCATTTAGCACAACTGAGCTTGAAAAAATCACAATCTTTATTTTTAAGCATATCAAATAATTCTTTTGCAGGCAAGATAATTCTTAATTATAGTTGAATGTAATAAAGTTTCATTTTAAAGTAAGATGTTATCTTAAGCGAATCAGCAGCAGCGTGGAAAAGCAGTGTCTTGCCGGCATGGAAGTATAAGCGAAAGAGAAGGCTGCAACACAGAGGAAGAAGGAAATTTTGGGAGAACAGATGAATTTAGGGGAGAGCACCAAAATTAGAATGTTAATTTTGAGGTCGCCATTTATTTTTAAAGCAACCATCGTTTTTTATTATATCTGTGTTCAAAATGAAAGCTTAGGACAGAAGAAAAACAATATGATTTGCAATCTGTTAGAGTCAGTTTGCTTTTATCTAGATTCATTAAATATTTAATCATGCTTGGCTGAAGTCTTATGTAAATTATTTGCTTGAGAACTTCATAATAGAGTCATACGATGGTTATTAATTTTGAAATGATGTATTTTGGAGAGTTTTATCATGAGGAGATACTATTTTAATATGGGAAAAGGGAAATATTTGAATTCAAATATAGAATTAAGGGTTTATTGTAAAGCTAAGTTAGTAACTTGCTTCGCAAATTTTTTATCTTTCACACCTCCCACATGTACATATACATATATAAATTAATTAATGAAATTATTTCAATTATTACAATCAGGAGTAATTTTTTGGAAATATAAAATATGAAACTTGAGTAAATTTGTGTGTGTGTGTATAAAGAAGCAATAAAAAACAACTATGGCAAAAACCATTTGTACTATAATTAAAAAAACTGCAAATATTTAACTAAATAAATTATTGATGATTTCACGACTTTAGGTAAACAATCGCCTAATAAACTGAAAAAGTCTGTCGAGTAAATTCGGTTATAAATTGTTTGAATAAATAATTATTTGTTTATTTCATATAGCTGTAAATAACCACCTCCAAAATGCAAAAATTAAAAAAAAATTACAAGAAAACTTTATAGAAACTTCAATTCAAAAATTTTAAAGCATTAGATGCTTAAGTACCAAAAACCATTTTTTTGATTATATTTAATGAGTTCGAAAACCTCCTACACACTTGTTGCTACGATTTCGTTTCAAAGAAATAAAACGAATGAAATAATTTTATAATAAGACAGGACGAAGCATGGGCAAAGGGTTACATGGGACACATAGTGTAGGCAGTGTTTCATAATTCTTACAGTAGGAATGGTTTTTTTCTTTCCTGATTTGTGAGGCTTGATCACATACAAAATACTGGAAGGAATGTCATGCAAAGCCTAGAAGTAGAAGAACTTGTATACAAAAGGAGAAGCTAAAAACCTCTTAAATAATTGCGCAAGAAGTATGATAGCTTTGTACGAACATTTCGGACTCATTTCAAAGTTAATATGTTAGTTTAAAAAGAAATTTAATCATAAACCATTTACAAGAGATTTTATAAAATGAAAATTTAATTATTGACACTATTTTTAACTCAATAATATCAAGAATATTATATCACATAAAAACAAAAACTTCAAATAATTAATTATTTAATCATTTAACTTAGACATCAGGGATTCCTCTAAAATTCTGAAGAAAATTTAGTAAAAATATTTATTGGCAAAACTTTTAATATTAGACGATGGAACATCAGAATGATACATTTAAAAATAAAGTAAGTATATATTAACAAAAATGACACTAAATATTTTGAAAACATGCTGCAGAATCAAAAGGGTATCATTTCAAATTTATTTAACTTATTTATCTCATGTTACTTCGAATAGCAAATCACGTAAATACGTATGTTCAAATAACTGTTAAAGTAATATTCTAAAATATTTCAGAAATTTAGTAAAATTTTTGAAATCTTTTAGCGTTAGTTATTTTAAATATCAAAATTTTAAAATATCAACTTTTAATGTTGGAAATATCAAGTTTTAAAAGTATGGAACATAAGAATTAATTTAGTAAAATTTTCAATATTAAGAATAAACACTAAAAAAAATTTCTTCCAGTTACAAATGTCCTAAAGAATTAATCGCGGAATTGCATAAAATTTCCAAATCAGAGCTTTTAATTATTTATGTTTCTTTACAAAAAAGGGATTACTTACGTAAGATCTTCATTTGCTTTTTTTCATGCCCTTTTTAGAAGTTTTCTTGTTAGAAGATTTTGAATTTTCTTCTCTTAGTTCTCTATGCTTCTTAATTAATAGATCCATAAGAAAAATAAGACTTTGTACGAGTGGATGTTTCTTAGATTTTTTTCCATTTCATAGCAGGGAATGTTGCAGAAAAAAATTTACTTTTCAGATTAATTTTAATTTTAGGCATATGTATTTTTTCTTCTGTATCTGATTTTATAAAACTTGAAGCCTCCCCTTCTTCATCTTCTTTGTCTTGTAAGCTCAGTCGTTGCAAATTCTGTACTTCTTCTTCAACACAATTCATATTTTCTCTTGTTTTAAGATTTCTACGATGGCGATTCTTTCCTCTTTTTGGGGTGCCCATAGCTTCATTTCCAGAACTAGCAGCTTCAGTTGTAGGCTTATCGCTTCTAATTAACATCTCTGACTTGAGTCCAGGGTTATTCAAATCAAGATCACGCCCTTTTTTTGAGCGTGGTTTCTTCTTCTTTTGCAATTTTTGTTTTGGTCTCGCTCCTCCTTGATTAAATCCCTGCAATGCTTCACTTTTCATTGTAGTTGAGGGACGAGAAGAGGCAACAGACTCATTCTCATTTAATCTTCGCCCTGGAAAATTTAAACCTCCTTCCTCTAAATCAAGACTGGTAGCACGTTCACTTTTCTTGCCAAAAAGGCCGGCCATATCCTTGTGAAGTGGATTCATCATATAGCCGCTTTACTTCTGAGACGTACCCTTTCAATCAAATTCTTCTCCTAAATCACTGACGCGGTGACCAGTAAATGTATCCCAACCTAACTACGCCCGTTCCTAAATCACTGACGCGGTGACCAGTAAATGTATCCCAACCTAACTACGCCCGTTTTTCATCTCCGCAACACAAGAGGAGCTAGTTTCGTAATCCGTTTAATTTTCTGTTAACCCTATGAACAAACTTTTGGAATTCAAAAAGGATAGAATAATAACCAGTAAACAACTCTCGTTTTTATCCCTTGATTAACATTCGTTTGTAGGTTTTACTCATCTCAAGCTATATTATTTGTCAAGCTTAATATCGAATACGGATGTTTCAAAGCTAAAATAATAACTCACTAAATAAATAACTGAGATAAAATAATAACTGAGAATTAGCGACCTCGAAAACTGGGACTTTGAAAGCTTAATTTTGTTTTTCAACTCTCGACTTAATGAATTATTTTAGCTAATATGCTTTGATAGTTTATTTTGTAAAAAAGCTGACATTTTAATTTTTTTCTTGTGTTAAATATTATTTTTATCAAAAAATTCTCAATCCATTTATTTGCAATTGAAGAAATTGTTCAGGATTTGTACCTTTCAACGAATTTCACACTTTTGCTCTTTAACAATGAGATAGGTATTATACATGGTTTCAGAAACACCTTTTATTAATTACAATAACAATGTATATTGTCATAAAATATAACAATTAATTCTGAATTATCACTGGTTGTAGTAAAATTAAATATATTTTAAATTGCATCACCTAGAATAGTTGTTCAAATGAAGGTTTAAATTATTAAAAATTGAATTTACTGCATTGATATTTCCAAGTAGCTTAGTTACCATATTTACTCGAAATTAAGATTTTCTTGAAGGAAAGACCTTCCTTACATTTTAGGATAAATTTTAAGAAACAAAAATGTAGGTGGATATTTATTTGTCTTGAAGTAAAAAAAAAAGGGGGAATAAAGCTTAGTTCCCCCCTTCCTCCCAGAATTTCGGTCTACCAGGGGCCAAGTGAGCACTGGTTGTTTAACCTGAGTTCGATTCCAGGCGAACAGGCTGCCTGCATGGGCGTTTTCGTGTTTTCTACAGGCGTAACGTAGGTATGAGCAAGTTTAATTTAGAAAGTTCTCCACGAAAGCATTCCTTGCCTTATGTTATTTTATTTAATTATGGTTAAGTATGCTTTGTCATAATTAAATAAAATAACCTTCGGAACTTCCCTGAAATAACAGTATCGTTATCTTCAGCCACAAAACTTTATTAGTGATACATTGTTGCTTATACTCGGGCGAAAAAAATTAAAGAATTTAAAGACTTGCATATTATGTCGAAGCTTCGAAAAACTAACGTTCAGATTTTAATAAAATTTGATATGAATATACATTTATAACAGAGAAAGAGATATACCATTCAAAAATTTTATATATTCATGATTATCGGCAAAGCTTATAGTGCCGATCTTCTGGCATATAGCCCTATCTCATAAAGACTTTGAGCAACTATAGACATTGAAACTCAGGTTCCAGTAGCAGCATACAACTGAAGCGAGAGCTGTGAAGTTGTAGTAGTCTTGTGTCGTCGCGCTGAAAGTGCCAAATAACGATCCTCTTTTGTCGTTGCAGATCTTAGTCTATATTGTCCAGGTTTTCTCGATATGAATCCAGTGTCCTAAAACTGTTTCGACAAATTGCAGATGACACCAAGTACTGCATTGAGCTCTGTAGCCACCTGTGCTTGTGACTGGCTCGCCTGCGATCTGCTGTCAATTCTCCAACTCATTCTGTCATCCATACGTTCAGAGCTACTCATTTTACCTGATCTCTTATAAAATTTACTCAACTCTTGCGAGAAATATCGCGAAGGAGTACGATCGCACAACTCGCCGAGAAACCCTCGTACCCTTATATCCCCTGCACAATCACAGCTCCTCAGATACGTACCTGTGCGCTTACGTATTTAACTCAGAATATTTGCATTCTTTTTCGACAGCATAACCAATACCTTTAGTTCATAATTCTTTTTGTAGAAATAGACATAATTTGCATATTCTTATAATATTGCTTTTGAGTGTATTTGTAGCATTAACTTGTATAGTAAATTCGGGGCTAAACTGAAATCTCTCAGTTAGACGTGACTATTATAACTAAAGATAGTTACATGATTTTTGTGTAGAGTAATGATTACTGTAGTTTAATAATAATTTAAAGAGCATAATTATCCTGAATAGTAAAATGAAAAGTGAAAGCTCTTCATTTTGAATTTCATTTATGAAAGTACTCCTATATAACACCCGACCAAATTTTAGAATCAAAATATAAGAAAAAGAGAGGTCTTATTTTCAAGTTCGTGCTACATAACTTGAGATTCAAGATCTTACGTAACGTCACATAGCAACGATGTGGAAACTAGCTATCTGGCAAGCCGCGTGGAAAATAAATTAAAGAGCCTATATTTATGTTTTGTACTTGCCAATCGCTTTGGTGATAAATGTGTGTAACGTAATGTAAAGTTTCGACATTTTTGGAAAGACTTCATTCAAGTCGCTTCTAGTGGTAAAAAAAAGACAAAGATTTCGAACAATTATCGTTCCGAAAAAATTTTTAAAAATTGTTCTTTAAGAAAAAATAATTATTATCTTATACCAAGCAATGTAGAATTCCAATGAATCGAACTTAAATTAGTCAGGAACCCGAATTATTCAAGTAAGGTTCATGTGCGACGTTTCTTAATAATTCATAAAAGCTTTGTTATGATGGCTGTAGCAAGCTTACTTAGAATCTGATTTAGATTTCTCGTACAGCTGATCTGAATGCGCTCGAACAAATCCTTTTACTTATTGGGAGGAGGGACATTAAAAATGACGTGGCACCTACTCATATTTTCACATTGAGGCAACTGTAGAATTTTGCAGCAAAGAAGAAGGGGGCAGCTGCAAAATAGGTGGGAAGTCTCTAAAGGGCATTTTTCCTACTAAGCAATTTGACTCAGGTTCGATTCTTAGGAAAAGGGCTGAATGCGTGGGTGTTTTGGTGTTTTTCTTTCCATGTACAAAGTAAATACTTCCCAGTTTTTTTTTTAAAAAAAGGCTCTCCATGAAGTCATATCACTCCTTAGGCAGACAGCTGTAATGTGTCAAAGAAAAATGCCCCACTATTAAAAGCTTGCTGTTGTCCTGTGCACATTGCAGTGTACATTTAGGCAGGCGAATTATGCAATTTTTGACGTTTCGAAACGTTAAAAAGATAAAAGATCAAATACTGTGCGTGTTTTTCCAGCTGTATCAACGCAAACTTGCTCATTATATAACGCTTATAATCCTTGTAAAGTGTCCGCAAGTGCTCCGTTAGCTAGCATTTTGCATGGGTGTCTTTAAAGTTGAGAACTTGTGGGATACTACTGGCCCTTGATTGAGCGCCCTTGCTGGGATAGAATATGTGTATGAATGGCAAGAATAGTCAATGTCGACAGTTCTTCAGAGCCCAAATTGAGAACCTTCAAATCCAATGAATCTCGTGCTGCCAAATGCATCAAACGATAAGACGACAAAATAACTTACAGAATTAGCGGAATCCTCTCTGTATGTTTGACCCATGGTGGTAAGAAAGGAAGGAGGGGCCAACTCTGCACTACAAGTGAAGCACTGCTCAGAGGCTTCGGTCTCCAGATGGGGTGTTTTTCATTTACATTCAGATAGCGCTTTGATAGTATTTCGACACACGACAGTTCCATAGAAATCGAAAAACATTTCCGCATAAAAGAAAAATTTATTTTGTGATGGATAATAGCAATTTGTATAGTTGACATGTACGCAAAAAATCACATTTTGGTTATTTTACGATAATTAACAACTGAATTACAAATATTTTGATTATGTTTATAAAATTTTAGCGATTTTAGCGATTTTGATTATGTTTTATAAAATTCTAAGCTGTTGAACTACAAAAATATAGATTTTAGCAAAAACGTTATGCTTAAAGAATGAAAAATACCTTACGGTACCTTTAAACTTGTATAAGTCTTTCGATACCCTTGATACAGTATTCGCTGTTTATTTAGGTATTTATTTTATGTTCCAAACACCAAAATGTTTTAAATAAAATAAATTGCTTTGTCATCCGCATATTATGTAACATCTACTTTTTAAAAATTTTTAGAGGAGAAGCTTTACAGCTGCACATTTTAAACTCACTATTTTATTTTTATATAACTGAAAAATAATCACTTACACTTTTTACTTAATTGGGTAAATTAAAAAAATAAAACTACCACTAAATGCTGCAGTCCTCGTCAAAATTAATAAATATACACACAGATATGCCAATAAGTTAACTTTTCCTTGATTTATAACCACACATTTGTGCAAGATTATGTACAGTTTTACACAAATGTGTGAAACAGAAGACGGATACATTTGCGAACTCGACGAATGAAGCAATATTATACAGAGCAATCAAAATTGCGATCTGATGGCAATGCAGTTAATGTTTAAATGTGAAATGGATAGTTATTATTTATTATATTATCACAGAAATATTAAACTGGGTAAAATCGCTAAAAGACGTATTGAGTGCTCTGTCAAAATATATTTACTAGAAGATTTTAATTTGATAATGAATGTATACTAAAACGTGTTTTAAGTCAAAAGTTTGAAATTTGATGGCTAAATGCAAATATAAAAGTATGTATATTAAAATATTTGTAATTAGGCTAAGAAGAGTTTTAGTATATGTATTGTTGAAATTAAGGGTAAAACAAATCTGATAAGTATAATCAAAACAATTATTCCCTTACATTTTATAAGAACTCAATTACAAGTTTTAAATAATATTTTTTTTAAATCCTTTTTTCTTTCCTTTTTTAGAAATATTCAGAGAAAATTAAGTACAAGGAAATGAGCCCCAATATTTAAAGTATTTCACTATTAATATAAAAGAGGCTCTAATTTGAAGTTGACCAAACAGAGTATTAATAATAAACTGACTTAGATTTTTCGATTTAAAAGATGCCTCAGAAGCTTAAAAATCTAGGAAGAAGTTCTATAAATAGAAAAGAAATAATGC